TCTTACAGTGACTAAACGGGAGGGAGAGTCAAAATATGCTGGTCTGCATTTTAAAGCTAAGCTTTCTGCCTTAGGTTATTTAGTAGTGCAGCAAGGAGGAAAAACAAATCCAATATCCTAAGAGCCTTAGATATACAGCTTAAGACATGTATTCCAATGGATATACACTAAGTGTGTGTATATTCTTTTTCCTAGTTCAGCCTGTTATATCTCGTTGCCCCTGGTCGGAAGAACATAAAATGCATTATGGCTGCCTGCAGAACTGGGGTATCTCAAAAGCACCACATCTTCCAGAAACCAGAATTGTCTTCCATGCTGTTGTGGAAGCAGCGTGCCAAGGGTGTGAATGTATCCCACTCAGTGAAGTGGCCAAGGGACTTGTTCTAGAACACAGTTGCAAATAATCATTGAGTAAATCACAGCAGGCGATTCCTCACGTGAAATTATTTGGTCCGTAATTCTTATCTGTAGGCCTTAGCTACGATTATATGACCAAAATTGCCTCTGTTTTGATGGTTACATGAATCAGTAGATTTTTTTTTTCCTTTTTCCTTATCTCAGTTCACTTCTCTGAAAATCAAATTGTCCATACTTATGCTGTCAGTTTAAGATTTTCTTCTAAAACTTCATTTGAGAAACTACAGCCAGGAAAGAAAGCATCTAATTGATCTCAGGCACTGCTGCAAAGAGTTTGTTCTGCTGCAGAGTAAATGCTCACAGAAGTACTTTAGACAAAACCCTGGTTCTGTTTCCAGCACCATGATCTGCAGGGGATGATGGTTTTAAAAGCACTTTTGGCTGGTGAGAGCAACGTTTTAGTTTGCAGTAAATGTTAACCAACATTTTTTGTAAGTTACCTCCGTAACTGAAATAGTGTGTTTAGGGGCAAATATTCAGAGGGAATAAATTAATTCTCCATCACCATGAGAAATTCTCTACTTGGGAGTGAGCAATTCCTCAGTGGATTGAAAATGACAACAGGAAATTACTTTTTGCATCTTCACTGCTATTGAAGACTGGCTTAAAAAATGCTTGGTCATTGGTTTCTGTATGTGGTTACTGGTGCTGTCGTGTTTACCAACCTGAGTAATATGCATGTGCAAAACCAAGCACTAAGTGTGAAGCTGTGTAGGTTAAGGTCAAGGTTCATTTGATCCACTTCCATATGCAGGAGAAAAGTCATATTCTCTGTGCAAATTGACTTAAATCGTTGCAAATAGACTTAAAATCGGGAGGGAAGAAAATTGCTTTTCTCCTGGCTAAGCGGACAGTTGCAGGCAACCACAAGCTTTTCATAGCTGTGTCTTGGTAATGGAGAAGAACCTGCCTGTCTGTCAGGTGCAGGGCCATGTGGATTCCTGTCTTGTAAGGACAGGCAAAAGAAGTGATGCACACCATGGGCTACCCTGTGCCACTGGCTAAGCTGGAAGCAGGCCGGGATTTTCAATAGCTGTTAGGCCTGGCAAGCAAAACCAGAGGCAGCAGTTTCCAATAGCTGTTCTTTGTGAGAGCTGCACAGGTAAGTTTTTAACATTTTTAACAGTTCAGCATGACAATGGCTGCTCTTAAAAACACAGAAGCTCCAACAGTAAACGAGCTAAGCCTAATTTTCAGTTTGTAGAGAGCTTGTGGCAAACCAGGTTTTACAGAGCTTCACAGGGCAACCTCACCTTTGTGCAATATGTTGTTTCTTTGCTCATGGTGAGTTGGCTGGTTGGTGGTAAGTAGCTGTTACTGCCAAAATCATTTCCTTCGGTGTTTTTGAGGCTCTTGAGGTGTCCTGAGTAGAAAGGTGGGAACTGCTTGGTAGCCCTCAAGGTCTGGATTTCTCCCCACATCACCCAGTGCTAGGATTACAAAATGGTCTTTCCTTTAGAATAGCACTGGACTCCACCTTCCCCAGTGCAGCACAGCCAGAGGAGGCGGCTTTGTGACTCCCCACAGGAGGGCTCGGGAGGCCTCATCACTGCAGATGACAATGGTGCTTCAGAGAAGGATAGTCGGCCCCCCAGGAAAAAGCTGGGGAACATGGACCCTGCAATGTTAGGAGCTTCCCACTTGCTGTGGATGAATTAGAGCAGCTGTCTCTTGGGCAGAAGATGGGGACTGAGCCAAGCCCACCTCAGTCTGTGAATGGTGTCTGCCATGAGCAGTGCCAGGAACAGAGCTCCTCGGAGGAAAATGCAGAGTTCAGATGTGCCCTGGCCCATCCCTTGGGTGATAGTGGAGTTCCTCAGACCAGAACAGGGTGTTTGCAGCCAAGCTTCCCAACTTCTGATCTCTGGAACAGAGGCGTTAACTAAATACAGGTAGTGTATATAACTTTGTACTAGTAGGGACTTCAAAATGATTCCCAACTCATGCTATTAGCAGGGGGGGTGAGGGGGGCTTTTCCCACCTGCTCTGTTTGAAGTACTCATTCCTCAATAAATGGCTCTGCTTCCCATCTGATTATGTGGTATCTGATGCCTGCATGTTATTTTAACGGCTGACTCATAAGATGGGCAGGAGAATGTCTCAAGCTGTTCATGGTCTCTTTTCAGACAGACTCTTTGGAGAACAAAGTCCTCAGTGAGAAGCAGCCCATGGGGAGGCTGCTGCAGAAAGCTCTTGAAAGTGGCAGTGACCAGCTCAGTCTGCCACTGGGATAAAGGACCGGGAGAGGTTTTGTACACAGCAGGGCTGCAATGGAGGCTGGGGAGCTAGGAGCATCCTGGGTGGGGGTGCAAGGGATGCCCCCTGAGCTAACCCTAACCCTGTGGAGGCAAAGCCTGCCCATGCTCCCATCTCGCCGTCCAGGTCCACGCTCCAGGTGATAAAGCAGGACCTGAAGGAGCAGGCAGAGCAGCAGGGGTGAACAGGGCCACACTGGAGCACTTGGTCACCACATCCGAGCAGCTGCAGGAGCAGGTGAGGGGCAAGGGGAGCTCCCACCAGCCACTGGCTCTGTGGGGTGCTCCTGGCAGGGTTCCCAGCCACATCCCCTGGCTGGCTGGGGCCATGGAGCCTCCACAGCACCCGGGGTTCACTGCACCCATCCCATCTCAGAGATGCTTCCTCCTCCCCTTCCTGCAGCTGGCAGAGCTGAGGGCAATGGTGAAGAGTGCAGGGCAGGAGAAGGCAGTGCCATCCAGAGGGACCTCGACACGCTCTTGAGGTGGGCTGATGCTAACTTCATGAAGTTTAACCATGCCAAGTGCAAGGTCTTACACCTGGGTCAGAGCAATCCCAGACACAGCTACAGGCTGGGCAGAGAAGAGATTCAGAGCAGCCCTGTGGAGAAGGACTTGGGGGTGCTGGGCAATGAGAAAATGAACATGAGCCGGTTTCAGTGTGCATTCGCATCCCAGAAAGCCAACCGTATCCTGGGCTGCATCAAAAGGAGTGACCAGCAGGTCGAAGGAGGTGATCCTGCCCCTCTACTCTGCTCTTGTGCGACCTCACCTGGAGTATTGTGTGCAGTTCAGGTGTCCTCAACATAAAAAGGACATGGAACTGTTGGAACAAGTCCAGAGGAGAGCCACGAGGATGATCAGGGGACTGGAGCACCTCCCGTATGAAGAGAGGCTGAGAAAGTTGGGGCTGTTCAGCCTGGAGAAGAGAAGGCTGCGTGGAGACCTCATAGCAGCCTTCCAGTGTCTGAAGGGGGCCTATAGGGATGCTGGAGAGGGATTCTTCATTAAGGACTGTAGTGATAGGAAAAGGGGTAATGGGTTAAACCTTAAACAGGGGAAGTTTGGATATAAGGAAGTAGTTCTTTCCTGTTAGGGTGGTGAGGCACTGGAACAGGTTGCCCAAAGAAGTTGTGAATGCTCAATGCCTGGCAGTGTTCAAAGGCAGGTTGGACAGAGTCTTGGGTGCCATGGTTTAGTGTGAGTGTCCCTGCCCATGGCAGAGGGGTTGGAACTGAATGACCTTAAGGTCCTTTCCAACCCAAAACATTCTGTGATTCTATGATTCTATCTGGGGCTTAGGAGGGGGCTGCTGGGACCACCCCTCCCCCCTCCCCATCTGGTTGTGCTTCAGTGTAATATGGGGAGCCCCTTGCTCCCCCCCCGATTGGGTTGTACAAGTCAGCAGCATGGAGGGAGATTCAAGCCATGCTGCAGATGTCCTGCTGGCACTGAGAGCCCACAGCCATGAGCCCAGTAAGCTGTTACTTTCCCCGGGGTGCAGCCACCCCCCTTTGCATGGCACCAGCATGTCCTCTCCCTCCCTGGAGCAGAGCCAGGAGGCGCTGAGCCAGTTGACAGCCCAGGCACAGGAGCTGCAGTAAGTCCAGCAGCAGCTGCAGGAAGAGATGGCCTCCAAGGTGAGAGGTGGCTCATCCCCACTGGGCAAAACTGGCACCTTTAGGGCATGGTGGCCCAAGGCAGTATCACTCTAAAGATTCCTGCTCCTGGCTTTTCTCTGGGGAACGCAGTGCCCCATGCTGGGGCAGCTGCCTGAGGGAGTGTGTCCGTCTGCAGCTGCACTGCAAGGAGCTAGGGCCTTTCCAGCAGCAGCTGGACAAGCACTGGAAGAGAAGCCTGGAGCAGCTCAAGGAGAAGGCACTGCTGACAGAGACTGACAACACGGCTGGGATTAAGAAGTGAGTGCGATGGGGACAGGGATGGTTTTAGGGACAGCACTCACCCCGTTCCCACTTTGTCCTTGCCAGCACACCCAGTTCCCATGGTGCTTTGGGTGCCCATGGCAGTAGTTGCCACTGATGGTGGTGGGTTTTGGAGCCAACATCCAACTGCTCTCCCTCATCCTCCCCCCATTTTTCTGTAACCAGCCAGTGGGCTGGGACCTTGCTGGGGTGCTAGGGGATAAACCAGGTTCAAAACCAGGTTTCCCAGCTCACCCAGCCCTTTTCTCCCCTGCCCAGGCAGCTGTTGGCTAATTCCTGATGCCTGTTCTATGACCAGCAGCTTGGCATGAGGGTGCCTGACTTGTAACAGCCCCCGTTGCCAGTGCATCAGGGGGCTTCATGGGTGGGATGGGGGAAGAGGGGTGCTGATAGTGCTGCATGACAGGCACAGGGTATATGGAGTCTGTCTGTGGAGGGGTCTGATCCTGCTGAGACCCCCTGCAAAGCCCTACCCATCAGTGGGGAACGGGGACTCCTCCGTGAGGGCAGGGCAGGGAAATGCCATGGGGTACAAGCCGGTACAAGATTTTGGGGCACTGCCCTGAGCCAGGGTGGGTTGTTTGTCCCCTGCCACCCACCAGGGGTTCTTGGCTTCCTCAGGCCCATCATGCCCATCTCACCCCTGCCACCACTGAGCACCCCATGGCACTGAGAAAACCCATTGTTCCCTCAAAACAGGGTAAAGCAAGGGATAGGGGACATGGGACCCATTTTCCCAGGAGATGCAGACATTGACCAGCTCTACCATATCACCAAATGCCTGGGTAAGAATAGCCTGTCAGGATGCTCATACCTGTTTACTAATGGAGGGTCAGATACATTTTGATGAGGGGAAGGAAGGTGTTGGGGGAAAGGCTGTTTGTGTGTGCTGAACTGTATCTGACAGCGTGTGCTCTTAGCACCATTTACAAATGGAGATCTAAGAATTCATGAGTTCAGTATCAATTCATGGCAGACTATAGCCCTTAAGGGCAGTGCTGACAAAGTGTTCCAGCCTCTTAAATGTTTCACTGGACTGTCCTGTATTTCTTCCGTGATGGTTGCTTTGTTTGTGTGATTCCAGGTAATTTAATTCCAAGACACCAAGAGTTATCCTATAAAAATCCCCTCTTTGCTGGCATGAGGTTGCCTGAAATGAAGGAGGCCAAATCTCTGGACAAACGCTATCCTAAGTCCCCTGCTGCAGTGCTAGATTTAGCCAAGGTAATTAACTGGTGGTTTACTATGAATGTTTCTCTGTTTACTTGACTTTGGGAAGCAGAATACAGCCTACAGAAAGGGCTGTGGCTGTTAAAGTGGCTTTCTCTCAACTACCCATGCATAAGCAACTGTTCGGGTTGGTGGCTTAGTGGGGCTGCAAGATTACACCAGCAACCATCCTGGGTGACTGGGAAGACTAAGCCAGCCATCTCCAGAGCCAAAATGGTCAGTGCATATCCTCCAGGGAGGATTTGTAGCATCTAGTGCCCCACTGATCAAGTTTTCCAAGGAGATTTAAAAGGTGAAGAAGGACTGGTGTGTTGAAAGCATCAGCTGATCTTTTGACTCCTCTCCCAACAAGCTTTGCTCCTCATCTGCTACCTAAGTGCATGCTTTGTAGATCATAAGCTTACTTGTTACTGGCTAGCAGAGCTGTGTGGATACAGTGTTTCCTGCCAACCCTACCTCTATTTGCTGGTGGAGGCACTGCAAAGGAGCATGCTTGGATCCCTTGCTGGTGGAGGGATGTGTCTGTTGTGTGTGAGTTAGGAAGCCTGTAACTTTGGAATAGGCTCCGGAGAATCCTTCCAGAGATTTGGGGGTTTGGGTTTTTTTGTCCTTTCACATAGTAGTCTGGAGCTGGGCAACTAAACCAACCTAAAACCCACGTGGCTGTATTTGAAATGCCTGATGGTCAAAAGAGAGCATAAAGCCTCAGCCAGACAAAGGTAACTGAAACAACGGAGGTTTACTGAGAGCAGAGTGATCTGTGCAGTGAGTCGCTGTGAGCGCTGGTGATTAGGATGGAAGCAGCCAGTTCTGTGTTTGCTACACGGAATGGTTTTGGCACTGGTTGGGCTCATTTCAATATAACAGAACCTAGAGGGAAGAGATTGAAGTATTTTCTTGCCTTCTCACTCAGAGATGTTAAAGCCTTTGTTTCATTTCTAATGTATTTGCCTTCTCATGTTTACCTTGCTCTGACAGAAGTGTTTGCAGATTGACCCACACAAAAGACCATCCTGTGCTGAACTCTTGGAGTGTGGTTTCTTCAACAAGGATGGATTTGCTGAAAGGTAAACAGTTCCTGTCTTACTCAAAGCAGGCTAATATTAGAAGGAGGTTAAGCAGCTGCACTTAAAGATTTTATGCTGGCTTTGCAGAGCTGACAGCTGTTGGATGTCTTGGTTTTGTTTGGGTTTAGCCTTCCTGGAAATAGGAGAACAGTTGAAAGGTAACACCATGCAGCAGCATGTTTGCCTCATTAGCTGGTCATGACGCTAATTCATCAGCATGCACAACCAGCAGCACACCATATTGGGTAGTTTAGTCTTACACTGTGTGCATGCAATGTGTCTGCATCCACACCAGACTGGGACACAAACACCTTCATTGCTGTAATCTGAAAAGCATGTGCTTGAAATATTTTCTTTGGTTTAATGGATACATCATTTTTGGCTGGCTTCTCATTAGTTAAAAAGGCATGGCTGGTTTGGTTACCTAAAAAGCTATCAGAGTCTGGGCTGAACACCAGCTGATGAGGATATTGAGATTAACAGAAGCCCTTTTTTTTTCTTTTTTGTTTTTTCTTCATGTGAAATATAGATTCGCTCAGGACCTTAAATTAAAGATTCAGAAAGATGCCAGAGACCATCAGTTAAAAAATAAAATAAAAAATAAAAAATCAGCAAAAGGAACAAAGATGATGGCTTAGAAGAAAGAAAAATCTTTGGTGTCCAGATTGGTCCATCTTTGTTTTCCAATATTCTGTTTTCCCATGTTTTAAAATCAGTATGTGCAGCAGTGTAAGTTCATAGCAAAAATATAGGCATAATTGTCCATTTCATTAAAACAAAAAAAAGACTAGATAAGTGTGCTGTGCCTCCCCTTTGGAGGCTACTGTGAGTCTAAACAGTGCTGAAGACCTTGTCACCCGATCCAGGGGAATACACTGCGGCTGTGCCCCCACAGCTCTGACACCCAGCACAGTGCAGCCTGTGGGCTGTGTAGAAGTTGTGTGCCGTTGATTCTAGGTAATTGGCGGCTATGAGGTTGCTCTAGTACTTGGCTCAGCAGTCTGCAAGTGGCCTTTGGGCCAGTCCCTTGTCAGTAAACTACATTGCACATACAGAGCTGAAGGGAGAATCCTTTGGGAATTATTAAGTCATGTTGAATCACAAAAACATGCTTGTATGCTGCTGTTTACCTGTGTTAAAGCCCTCCCTTCAAAATTATGTATTTTCCTTTCAACCAGATACCAAGGAGTAGAGGCTTCAGAGTGACTTTGAGGTAACACTGGGGTCAGTTCTTACTTGATTTATTTGGAAGTGACATGGGATATGACTGTTCTTCATCACTTCCTATCTAAATCAGATAGGATATTCTTCGTCAGATCCTATTCTAAAATGACTTATTTACAGAGCGTGCATATCTCCTTCTGTTTGATGGAAAACAGGTTTTCTGCTAAAACCAATTCCATCTCTATCAGATCCCTGCAGAATCATGCAGGTTTAGGCTTTTGACTTCTTATTCCCGCATGCACTGTTCTAAGCTACTTTGTAAGCATGACTGTAGGGGAAAGACGATGTTTTTCTTTACAAACAGGATTTTAGCATTGAGCCAAAGAGCAGAGATGCAAAGCTGTTCAAGGCGAAGCACTCGAAAGCTGATGCAGAGGGAGCAGACTGATCCTTCAACCTGAGCCCCCTGTACAACAGTGCCATCAACCCTTTTACAGTAAGCTCTCAAACCAGTCTCAAAGATTCCAGCAGCAGCTTGGACTATGTCAAGAATGCAGGCATAGTTGTCCCCCCCATCAACCAGAACTTTTCTCCCACTGCAGTTGTGATGGGTCCTTTGCCTGGGAACCTTAAATACAGGTATGGGAGCAGAGCTCATATCCATCATCCCTGTTGCTGAGGGACTGAAATGGCCTGAGAGAGGTGTAAGGTGATGATGGTGGAACATGTGATGTGTGTTTGCGATGGGACATGGCTAGAAACGGCCCTTGGATGGAGGATTGTCTTCACCTCAAGCAGTTGTGCATGTGTTTCAGTACTGGGCAAAGCTCCTGAACAGCAGCAGTTCCACCAGCTGCTGTGGCACTTGGTTTTCTTTGGCTTGTGGCTTGTCCTTTGGACCAAATTTCTCTGTTAAGTGGCTCCCTGTGAGCCATCTTCCTAAGCATTTCACAGCAATGTTTCTGGATGTCTTGCATTTGTTGTTTTTATTTTCATCAGTTAATACAAAGTTTGTGGTGTTTTTCATTACAGAGTTGACAAAAAGAGTAAAAAAATACTTGAACCCATTTCTAAGGCAGTGGAAGCATTCTCCAGCAACCCATTACAGTGTAAGCTTGACCTCAGTAAGTCATCTGCTTTTCCCCCTTGTCAAAGCAGAAATCAATTCTGAACCCAAGCACATATTTGCTTGTCAAGAATCCCATCTGTTGCAGCCTTCACCATGGCTCCCAACTAGAAATAACTCTATTCTTCACCCCTTTTGACCTACAGATGTGTTATCTGTTATCCCTTGCTTATAGTTATCTTATATGAAACATACTTTGTATCAGAGGACAATTTTAAATGAGGGAGCAGTCCTCATGGGTATCTGTGAGACTTGAAATAAATCCACATCCAAAAAAAACAGACCTTGTGTGCTGTGCCTCTGAAGCAGAATTGAGGATTTGGGTTTAACATGGGCAGGGCCTTATTTAGTCATGTCATAAATGCATTGAAAATGGATAATGAGAACAAGTGAACTGGAAAACTTTCAAACTACCTAAGCAATATTCTTTCCATGCTAACATGAATGTTTGCCTTCTTACACCTAACTAATCCAAGACATTCTCCAGGTGGTGTATTTCGTCCCTCTGAAAGCAGTCTCCCTTAGATGATTGCTTTGGGGTTGTCTTGCTGTGGATGTTCCATTATTTATAATGTATAAATAACACTTGAGCAGAATGTATTCCTTCACACACATTAGAGTTGCTTCTTTTACTCTTCCCCAAGTTCTAACTACAGCAGAACATTGCTGTGTTGATGCATTTTTAAGCTTGAAAATAGCTTTGGCTTTTTGTTTGGTTTTTTTTCCTGTATTGTCATGAGCTGGTACTTATGCCCTTGATTACAGGTTACTAATGAAAAAAACATCCTTCAGGCAAATAGGAGAAAATGGGAATTCTCCGAGACAAAGGTGCATTTGCCAGAGCTAAACCATCTGCCTGAGCTGAGAGGAGTGGAAGGTTATGATGTCCTCTGAATAAAAGCTGGTTACTAAATGAGTGGCAGGAAGCAACGTGTGTTGCAGCAGTTAGTTCTTGCTTCCTTAACACTGTATGCATTGGTTGTCTTTTGCAGTGTGGCATCCCAGATATCTCAAAAAGGAAAATAAGACCATTTCAGAGTCCCATGTTGCCTCCCTTGCTGCTATTGACCTCCATACCCCAAGTCTGGCCTCACAGCAGGTAATAACATTTTGGGAGTCTGATTTGATCAAAGAGTAGGTTTAATTTTAAGTTACATGTTGGCATTGCATTTCTCTATCAGGCAGTTTCTGATTGTCCTCTCCATTTATACTAGACCTGGAAATGGACCATCTCTGGCTTGTTCTTCCCCAGTTTGCAGCTGTCAGGGACTTTAATGCCTGAGGCATCAGAAGGCAGCTTCCCAAGAGCTGAGCACTAGCCTCATGGAGAAGATCACACCTACCTGTAAAAAGGTGGGCTCTCATTTCTGCTGTCTAGCTTTAATTTCTGCATGCACATGGTATGTACAAGCAAATTATGTTGCCTCTGCCTTTTTTATTTGCTTAATAGATTCCTACCTTTTTTTACAAAAACCTTCCCAGAGCCTCCTCATGGCTTTCAAATGGATAGTTTTGTGTATGCTTGGCATTGGTGTTGGAAATTACACAGCTCATGATGTTGGGTTTGAGCAAGCTGGTAGAATAACAAAAAGGGGAAGTTGTTTGCCTTCACATGAGGAGTGGAAAAATGCATGTACAGCACTGTCAAAGGGATCAGGGAAAACGGAAGGGAGAAGAGAGAACAGTGTTGCGGGGGGGGAGCTTGTCAAACTTAACATTAATGAAAATGTTTAAAAATTAAGTCATGCAATCTAAATTAATGTAGCTGTTGATACCTCTCTGAGCATGAGGTAGGAGTCTGGGAGAGAAGGAGGCTTAGGGAAAGCCCTGGCTGTGTGGATGGCTTGTTGACTTGTAGTCTTAAGATTGAAGGACTGAGCTTGAACTCAGCCACTCATCTGCACTATCACTCAGCATTCCATCTTACGATTCCAGATTGTTTTAAGCTGAGGCTTTTAAATATGGTTTTAATAGTTTCTTGTCTTGCCTATTAAAAGACATACAGGTCTTTAAGTCATTTTGTCTGAAAGAATACTCAGGGGGAAAAATTGTGTGGTTTTGTTTGCTGTTTTGCTTTTTTTCTACTGGGTATTGTTACCTCTTGGTGCTCAGGATCTTCCAAGGAGTCTGCTGTATCTGTTGGGGTTGGTATCATCCTCTTGCATGTGCGAACTGCAGTGCTGAGCTTAGGGTTTTTACTGTCAGAATTGCCTCTCTTTCCTTGATGAGGCTGGGCAGAAGGGACTGAGGGAGCATAAACTGGGGAGAAGAAAGAGGGAAGGAGACAAGGTGCCTGCGCTCCAAAATCTCACCAGCTTTCTTGGAACCATGTCCTGCATAGATGGGCTTTACTCAGGGCTCTGGCTATGGGTGTGATCACATACCTGCCCCTGCAGGGATTCTCTCTAGGGCCAAAGGGACCACCAGGCACCAGTGCTGCATGTGCTCTTCGTCTGTATGAGTATATTTGTCAGACTATGTCATATGGAAGAAAGGAGAAAAAAACATTGGGATGGGAAACAATCCTGTTAGTAGAAGTAGGGGAATAAGAAAGTTGTCTCATCTGTGAAGCACACAGGCGTAGGTGCATGGTGTTAACAAAGTACTAAATCAAAATAAAGGAGGATTATAATCAGGGAGAACCTCTGTGGTTTTGTTAGTCTGCCCATAACATCATTCTGCTTTGTTCCTCTTAGTGCAGGTGGCTAAAAGGGTGGCAACAGGCCACCTGAGTTACCAGTGCTAAGGCTATGAGTTCTCTGAGGAGGATCCCTCACCCTCCTGCCAGTCCAGTGGGCTGCCATGGAAATGGCTCATGCACAGCCCCAGGGCAGAGCTTGCACTGCCATTGCTGCTGGATTTCTTGGACACAAAACAGCTCCTGAAATGTTGACTTTCTGGTCTTGGGCTGAGAAGAATAGTGACTTTTGGTGTGTGACAAGGGCCGATGCTGTTGGAGGGTTTTCAGAGGAAGCTGCGCTTTCTTTTGTTGAACTGCTGCCCTCTTGGAGGTTTCTTTTCTAAATGAGTAGTCAAGAGAGTGGATGGCTGCTAAACTTGCCTTGGTGCACTACCAAATATGTGATGGAAAACACTTTGGCCTTAAAGAAAACATTCGTGCAAGAAATACAACATTTAAATGTGTGTTTCCAGCTGTTCCTTTGAAACCCTTGCTAACACTCAGCAGCATGTGTGACCTGGTGTTCAGCAACTTCCCCCCAACGTGTTCATTTGGATGGTTGTCTTTTGGGTGTTTAAGTGGGCCAGCTGACTGGCTGCTCTTAGTGATGAAGGAAGAGTATCAGTGTGAATTGACACACCAGCAAGCAGTAGGTGAGATGGGTTGCTAGTGGCATGGGAAATGGCCTCTGTGAGCACTCAGTAGCTCAACGAAGTGCTCAATCCCTTAAGAGAACATGGCATTTATGTGTAGGACTTGGCATAGCAGGTTGTAGGGAGAGAGAGACAGCATCACTTTTGTCTTGGGACTGTTAGGAGACTATTTTTGCTTAACTGCCCATAGTCAGATCTGCAGTGTCCCTGCGTTGTTCACAACCATTTTCAGATGTCATAGCTTACCCCACTGCATGGAATAGTCAATTTTGGAACTTTAACTGTCTTTTACATCAATGTGGAATATGGTATGGATGTCATTGTCTTTAGAGCTTTGTGGCTATCCTGTGTGTTGACGTGCATGTTAAAATTTGGAAATAAAAGGATATTTAAATCCCAAATCCCTTGGTACGAGTACAAATGTAAGCTGTGCTCGCTTGGTCTTCCCTGGAGTCAGTGTTGTGTCAGCTCACTTGTACTGGCAGCGTTACCTGAACTGAAAAATAGGACTTTTAAATCCATTTTTATTTAATAGTTGATACCAAGTTTCTTGCAGCTATTTACAAGTGCATGTTCCCCTCAGCAGCATTCACACAGCACACCACTGACCGTGCCCAGGGGCAAACACAACCACTCTGCTTGCCTAAAGTGGACCTGCTGAGGGTTTCCCAAGCTGAAGATGGATGGAGCAGCACCTAATCAGGACACAGAGCTCTTCACAGCATCACAGTGCTCAGGCTTAGCACCCACTGGCTGTGGGTCCTTCCCTTGGACATGGCAAATGGCTCCTGCAGAAAAACAGGCAGGGAAATGACCCTGTTCTCTGTCTCTGGGCTGCTTCTCCTGTGCTCCATCAAGACGTTGGGGTTTGTTATTTGCAGAGGGGGGACCAGGGAAGAGGATGGAAAAAAGGAATGTTTTAGTGGAGGAGGGAAAGGGGGGGGGGGGGAGAGGAAGTTTTTTGGCAGGTGGGAAAGTTGGGGTTGGGAAAGGGTTTGGAGAGGGGAAAAATGGTTGGGTGGGGAAGAAGGTTGTTGGGGAGAGGGGACAGCAAGGAAGGTGTTAGGGGAGGGGGAAAAGAAGGAAAGCTTGGGAAGATTTTAGGAAGAAGGAGGGGAAAATGAAGTTTTATTGGGGAAGAGTTTTAGGGGAGGGGGGAAAAGGAGGGTTTGGGGAAAAGGTTTGGGGGGAAGGAATGTCTGGGAAGAAGATTTTATGGGAGAAGGAAGGTTTTTAGGGCAAAGTGGGCAGAAAGTTTTAGGGCAGAAGGGAGGAAGGTTTTAGGGCAGGGGGAAAAGAGAGGTTTTTTTTAGGGGAAGGTTTAAGGGGGAAAAGGTTTTCAGGGAAAGGGAAGGAAAAGGGTTTTGGGGAAAGTTTATGGGGAGAGGGAATGGAAAAAAACTTTTAGGGGAAGGAATATTTTTGGGGAAAAGGTTTTTTGTGGGGAGGAAATGAAGGCTGAAGGTGGAGGAAGGTTTGGGGAGTGAAAGCTTTTAGGGGGAAGGACAGGGTTTCTGCGGGATGGCAAAAAAATAGAAGGTGGTTTTGGGGGACAGGAAGGGTTTAGCAGAGGGTGGAAGAGGAAGGACAGGGCTTGGAGAAACCTCGTCGAGAGTGTCCTTGCCACAGGCAAGGGATTGGAAGTGAATGAGCTTCCAACACAAACCATTCTAAGGCTTAGGGAGAGGGAAGAAGGACTTAGAGAAGAGGGGAAGACCTAAGGGGTTTTTAGAGAGACGGAAGGCTACCGGAAAGGCGAGCTCAGGCTTTCCGGAAGGGGCTCGCTTGCGTCGACTATTCCGGCACTGGGCGGAGCGGAAGCGGCGGGGCGGGACGGGGAGAGCTATGGCTGCGGCCGGGGAGAAAGGCTGTGAGCACTACCGGCGCGGCTGCCTTCTGCGGGTGAGGCGGGGGCGGCGGGTCTTGGCGCTGGGGGGTTCATTTCGAACCGAGCCTGATCCGTTCTGTGCCGTTCGTAGGCGCCGTGCTGCGGGAAGCTGTACGCCTGCCGGCTGTGCCACGACGGCGCCGAGGAGCACCGGCTAGACCGCTTCCGTGTGGCCGAGGTGAAGTGCACCCGCTGCCGCCTCCTGCAGAAGGTGGGTCCGGTGGGGAGGGGTGCACCGCCATCTTGGGGGGGGCGGGGGCGCCATGTTGTGTGGGGTTGGCCGCGCTGCTAACGACCCTCTTCCCGGTGCCTTGTCTTCCCGGTGCGACGGCAGGCCCAGCAGCGCTGCGAGGGCTGCGACAACCTCTTCGGCGAGTACTACTGCGGGATCTGCCACCTCTTCGACAGCGACAAGAAGCAGTACCACTGCCCCGAGTGTGGAATCTGCAGGTGCGTGAGGGGGCCGGCGGGACCGATGAGCCCTGCTCGAGTGAAGGACGGAGCGGGGAGGGAACTGGCCCTGGCCTGACGCTTTTCTCCTCAGGATCGGGCCAAAGGAGGATTTTTTCCACTGTTCAAAGTGCAATTTATGCCTGAGCTTGAGCCTTCGAGGAAAGCACAAGGTAGGAATACACCTGTTAACTCTTGTGTTTCACCCTGAAAGTGAAAGCTGACAGTGCCTCGGAGGCCGCACCAGCAGGGAGAGCAGCAGGTGCTTAAGTGCTCCTAAGAGCAACAGAGAGCACTTTGGGCTGGCTTTACGAGTAGTTAGAGCTACAGGAAATAAACACCTTGATCTCTTTCTCTGCTTTTTAAAGGAGCTGATCTGAAATTTGATTTGATTGCTGATCTGAGAGCATGTCAGTTTGAGCTACTCATCCTGCTGCAGTATAAGTAAAGCTAGGCTGCTTGCAGAAGTTCTGGGAGCCCTTATGTCTATGTTCAAGCTGTTTGTTGTTTAGTATGGTTAGCCACCTGTTAGTTAGAATCATAAAATAGCTTTGGGTTGGAAGGGACGTTCAAAGGTCATCTAGTCCAACCCCCCTGCAGTGAACAGGTACATCTTCAACTAGATCAGGTTGAGTTCTCAGAAGTTCAAACCTGAATTCAAAGAGTAATGTTTCATACGTGTTTTCTTACAATTTTTAAAGTATTTTAGAATTTAGGAAAAAAATATTTATGTACTAGAATAATATTTTTATTTTTGTCTTTGCAAAGTGCATTGAAAATGTCTCCAGGCAGGACTGTCCGATATGTTTGGAGGTGAGCTGCTGCTTTTCATCTCACGGGTTTGTGCGTGGCTGTGTTTTTTACTCCAACTGAATTAATTTTCTTGTCTCCTGTCTGATGCTTGCCTTGAAACAGGATATTCACACATCTCGTGTTGGAGCGCATGTGTTGCCTTGTGGTCACCTTCTGCACAGGTGAAGCATTGCAAATACTTCAGAGAGAGAAATAGCTGCTGCCTAGTGCTTAGTCTTCCTTCGGCAGCACTACAGGCCGGGTTAGTCTGTATGAGCTACAGACAGCTGGTTTCATAGGGACCCACATGGTAGGGATCAGTCTCTTGTTTCATCGGGAAATTCGTTAGGAAGGTTGTCTTCCTCGCACAGCAAACTTTGGTTGTGGCAGAGGGACTGTACACTGTTCATTCTAAGCTCTCCTGTGCTGAATTTCCTTCTGTTACTGCTTAAATTTCAGTAAGTTCCTCCTTGGTGCAGGAAGCAGTTGCATGATAATTTTAAGAGGTTGGTGGCAGCTCATCCATGAAGTTTTAGATTGTTCTTTAAGACATCCTTGTCTCACCCCCCCCACCCCCATTTTCTCTTTGCACTGAGTGAAACAGGCTTCCCTGTTTCATGTAGGTCTCTCCAGACTAAGTCTTCCAGCTCCTGAACTTACTTTGTGATGCACCACACTCTGTTTTTTAAGCAGACTTGAACCACACAGACCTTTTCATAGTGTTGACTCTTTTCCTTCATGTTAGAAGGCCTTAGAATGGAATCAGATGTGCTGGGAAGCTTTCTGTTCACTTGGACTCAGGCTGTTTTTTAACTTCTGTGTGTCTTTATTCAGTCCAAGCATTTTACTAGTCAGTAGTTGCATTATTCTTACTGAACTTCTGTGTTTTCTTTTCAGAACATGTTATGAGGACATGCTGAAGGAGTAAGTGTTTCTAAATGTCTCTTAATATTGTTGCAGTCCAGACGAATTGCTTAGAGGCAAATATTGTGATGCCAGTCATGTACTAAATAACTTAAAGCAAACTCCTGAAGGGATAAGGGGCTTTTAATTTCCAGTTCTGCCTGGAAGAGCTTCTTGATTTCATAGAATCAGACTGGTGTGGATTGGTAGGGACCTTAAGGCTTATCCAGTTTCAGCTCCCTGCCACAGGCAGGGACACCTTCCACTAGACCAGGCTGCTCCAAGCCCTGTCCAACCTGGCCTTGAACGCTGCCAGGGATGAGGCAGCCACAGCTTCTCTGGGTACCCTGTGCCAGGACCCCACCACCCACACAGTGAAAAACTTTTTCCTAAGATCTTCCATCAACCTCCTGTCTGGCAGTTTAAAGCCATTCCCCTTCTCCTGCCCCTACATTCCCATGTCCAAGTCCCTCTCCAGATTTCTTGTAGGCAAATTTGTGGTGTTTTTCTTCGGTGTAATATGAAACTTGTCCTTTTGGGTGGACTTGTTTCATGACCCTGCTCCATCTTCTGATTTAGCCTTTTTTCCTCCCTGCAGAGGTTACAGGTGTCCTTTGTGCATGCACTCTGCTTTAGATATGACAAGGTACTGGCGCCAGCTGGATGACGAAGTAGCGCATACTCCTATGCCCACAGAATATCAGAACGTGATGGTGGAGGTAAGAGACAAGACTTGAAACCATGACTCTACCATTAGCAGGTCTGTGTCTTTTTACTGTCGGCAGTAGAAGGCACTAGGACCTTGTCCTGGGTCAGAATTCAACCGGATGCTTAAGAAATGATGAAGAAATGTCATGCGTGGGCTCACAGTATTCATTTGCTGGCTTTATAAACACCAAAAAAAGAAGCAGCCCCCACCTGCGCTCCAGAAATACCAGCCCCAAAACTACAATCTCAGTGGTGTAGGATCACACAGCAGAGAAACAGCTTGGTCTTTGGAAGTGTCTTGCTTTTTCTGGTAGTGTTAGGCGATGTCTTAGTGAAAAGCAGTAACTTTTTTTTTTAATAGCTTGGAGCTTTGTGTTTCAGAGTAAGATTGGTGGATTTTCTGTGAAAATCTGAAGCTGTTGCTTTGCACAAAGCTAGCACACAGGGACAAATTCTGTTTTCTTTTGGTTTCTTTGTGTTAATTCAGAACCATGAAACTCATCACATTGCAGGTAATGCTGCATTAAGCAGCCTAGGTCATTAATGTTGTAATTGCATCTGCTATGGTTTAGATAACCCATCCTGCTAAGATTTTTTTTTTTTGTGGAAAAAATCTCTTTCTATTTTGAGAAGAGCACTTGCTTGCCTGCCTTCAGTTGCAGACAAGCTAATGCTGCTGGCTGCTGTTGGTGTGCCCTCACTTCGCCTGAGGGCTTCTCAAATTGTTTCTGACATAAAGAGGAGAAGCCAACGAGTGTCTGTCCCTGACCTGTGCAAGGAGTCACCTAAGGAGTAAATCCTCTGTGATTACACAGTGTGATCTGAGTGTAACAAATTGGAAAGTTAAATCGGCCCCGCTGTCTTTAAAAGGAAGACATTTTCTGCTTTGTCCCCAGTGGCAAACGAGTTCTGTGGTTGCTGGAATCATGGTCATAGTATACTGCTGAGCGTCCTGCTGGTGCTGAATCCTCTCTCTCTCTTTACTGCTTGCTTAGATCCTTTGCAATGACTGCAGCGCCCGCTCCACAGTACAGTTCCATGTCTTAGGCATGAAATGCAAAAACTGTGAGTCGTACAATACCACCCAGTATGGAAGATGCAGCCTTTCTTTGGAGGAGCAGTGACCAAGACAGGCTCTGGACAAGGAACACTCCACCTTGGAAGAGACTATTTAAAGAAAAAAACCTAATTAATAAACAAATAACCTATTTGTCAGTAAAAATTTATTCCAGATCGTCATGGCACAAGTGAAGTGGTTACATGATTTAATTCATGCTGGTGCAGAGGAGTTCTGGTACATGTGCCCCATCCCAGTATGTGAAGCACAGTGTGGACAGGCCCTTGGAAGCTCCCGACCAAGTGGTTAGCTTCTAGAGAATGGCACCCTTCAAAAGGGCTGTTTGCTGCATTGGAGACAGCCGGGAAGAATAACTACCTGGGAGAATGAGGAAGGACAAGCAGCTGATGCAGCAGATGATGTTCTGGGGTGGCTGAAGGCTGCGAATGTAACAGGATGTGGAGGTACAGCTATTCTGGTGGCAGCTATTGGAGAAAATGAACTTGTGAGAGTGGCCTTTTTACATAAAGCTGACATCCGCAAAGTTTTATGCCAGTACATTTTGTTCTTTCTAAATGATGCATTTGTTCTAGGGCCTGTGAGCACATGGCTGCCAAGGGTGAGCTGGCAGAAATGACATCCTTGGGCGATGAGCACCCTGAAGACCTAGCTGCAAGGCCACCCTTCTCCCACAGGCACCCATTTCTTCCTCATTTTGCTTTATTCCCTTACAAAGGCTGAGGTGCTGTGAGGTTTAGACACAGTGTGATGTTTCAATGGTTCAGTAGATGAATGTGAAGCACATATATTTGTCTTGTCAGGATTGGCATCAAGCTGAGTTTGAGACGTTTGCTAACGCAGCAGCAGTTCATAGGCACTTGAGCAGTGCAGGGACCAATTTTTTGTGGTTTTGGTTTTTGGTTTTGTTTTTTTTTTATATTTTTTTACAATGGTATCTGATTTCATTTGCAGGGAGAGGATGGAGGAGTGCTTTTAGAAAACAAAACCAAACAAACCTTCCCACCTTTCCTCACGTAATATCCTGCCCAAGGTGTTTTGCAGTCTAAATATTGTAGCAAGTTCTTGGCTTCTGAGAATTTTGGAGCATGCAAATAGTTTGTGATAATGAAATAAAATAGATTAATCAAGTTACTCTTCATGTAGCTACTTTTTTCTAACCTGTAAGTGAGCAACTTTTCTTCTTCAGCTGATGATGCCCTTTTGTGCATGAAATACCAGGAGTGGTCTGGAGCTTGCCTTTCTTGGAGTCTCTCTTCTGAAGCACTTTTCTCTCTGCTGTAAATTGATGTAAAATAGCATCTCTATTAAAACAAGTCACGCCATAGGCAGTGTGCTTGCTCTCTTTTTACTCTCTGAGTAAAACTCCCATCTGAGTTTAAACTATGATTCAGTACTGAGAAATAACGGGTTGATGAATGGCTATGTGACCCCTGGGTCTCTTACGAAAAAAAATGGTCTTAATAGCCCAAATACTTCTGTGGGATGAGAAGATGGTGTCCCCCCAGCACTGAGGCTGACTTTCTCCACCCTCCATGTCATTTTGGATGACCCCACTGTGGGGAACCATGTTTGGGCTGCATCAGCAAATCCAGAGCCCATAAAAAGTCTCAGGGCTGGGCTGGAGGGGAGCAGGGATTTATGTGAGGGAGCAGATCAGGCTTAATTTCGTGATTGTGGAGCTTTTGGGAATGCTGCTAGGGAAAGGTGTTCTTTGGGATGTGCGAGGCACCACGTGGTGGCTTCTCCTTTGGGGCTGGTGTTAAAAATGATGGAAGTGGTGGGGACTGTGTTGTCATCAGAAGTCACTGTGCAGAAGGAGCATGGCTTGGCTCCATACCGTCTTCCCATCTTTGCATGAGTGGGGCTTGGGGTTGGATGTTCTGGAAAGTGCCTCTCTGAGGGGATTACAGGCTGGGTTGGCTATGGGACTGTGAGTCCCTGTTGTCGACTAATGAGTGAGGTTTTCCCTGGTGCTGCCATCTCTGCTTGACCTCAGGCTGCTGTAGATAAGAAGGAGTCTCCTCTTGGTCATGGATGACACTTTGGTTCCTCCACTGAAGCTGCCAGCAAGACTCCCTGCTGCTTTGGAGCACCATCTAAATGTGTATTGTCACCTGGGGACTTTGCTTCCTTCCCTGGGTAGAGACCTGCTCTCAGGTAGGCCCTGACGGGGCTCATACCAGTCTGGAGGAGTTGTCATCTCAGAGCTTTGGGGTCTTGGGACGTGCCCAAGGGTTTCTTTAATAGGGAATAAGCAGCAGTCCTGAGCATGCAGGGGAATTTGAGTTCCTGCTGCCAGCAGAGCTCATACTACCACCATCACCACTGCTGCTGCCCAGGGCTGGAGGACATGCCTGAGGACACCTGTCTCCTGCTCCCCAGAAAGCTCCAGTCCCGTGGTGACAGCCAGCAGCTCAGCACAGTTTGGCTGCTCAGAAGCAGGATGAAAAGGGTTTGGGTGATGACACTTAAGGGTTTTCAAGGTGCTTTTCTTGCTTGGGTGTTGCTGCCCCGAAGGTGACTTCTCTGTGACAGTTAAAGGACAGGCAGGATTAAATGAACTGTAAATGGGATAAAAATGTGATGTCACAGGATGTTTTTGAGATAAATCTCAAAAAAAAGGGAAAGTTGAGGTTTCTGTATTATTAAAGCAGTTACAAAATCATGGAATGGTTGAAAAGGACCTTAATATTATCTAGTTCCAGTAGTCCCTTGATCACACTCCTAGTTGATGCCTGAGAAGCAAATGGGTTTCCATGGGCTGGGATTTGGGTGGTGGCTGGAGAAGTAGAGGTGGTGTGGAGATGCGTTGGGAGCATCCAGCATAACTAGGAAAAGAAACAATCAATAAATTCCTGTTTCTATTAAAAAGCCACTAGGGAATGGATGCTCAGAGGAAGGTTGGGAAGCTCTGTCTAGTGCTGATTTTGGGTTCCAAAACTGGGGCAGGCTGTCTCTGCAGATGACTGTCCCCAGCTAGGTGATGAGTGCTTTGGGATGATGGTAGAGGTGATAAAACACTCTTTTGGGTTGCTCACAAGCAAGTCTTGCATGACATAGGGTTGTTGAAGGTCCCTGTTTTGTGAGAGAGTTTGTGTAGTTCAGCCTGGAGAAGGCTCTGAGTAGACCTTTTAACAGTCTTCCAACACCTAAAGGTGCAAGAAATCTGGAGAGTGGCTTTGGACAAGGACATGTAGTAACAGGACAAGGGGGAAGGGCTTTAAACTGCCAGAGGGGAGATTGAGATGAAATCTTAGGAAGGAGTTCTTCCCTGTGAGGGTGGTGAGGCCCTGGCACAGGTTGTCCAGAGAAGCTGTGGCTGCCCCATCCCTGGCAGTGTTCAAGGCCAGGCTGGACAGGGCTTGGAGCCACCTGATCTAGTGGAAGGTATCCCTGCCTGTGGTAGGGGGTTGGAACTGATGAGCTTTAAGATCCCTTCCAACACAAACGAGACTGTGATTCTGTGATTAATCAGCACCCGGTAATTGTTGCCTTTAGAAGGTGGGAGATGCTGAGCCCATCTGAAGTGCTGCTGTAGGACACAGACTTTAACTTTCCTTTTGTGTGTCTCTTAAGGATTTGCACTGGCAGGTGGAGATATGGATGCTGTAAGGTCCACATTGTCTTCTTGGAAGCTGGGAGGGCTGCATTGGCAGCCCAGTGCCTGTGCTGATGAGCCTTGGGGCAGGGATGCTGCTATCCCCCCGGGTCCATCACACCTCATACTTCTTCCTGGCAGGCCTCCTCCCTTTGAGAGGAGCACTGTGGCCATGAAAGCCTGTGTGGTGGCCATGCAGGACATGAATTTCTGCAGCTAGAAGCAGCAATCCAGCCTTAAGAAAGAAAAAAAAAACAAAACCAAACAACAAAAAATTAACCAGAGCTGTCAAATTCTTCCTGCAAGAAGCTGCCAGGGAGAAACAGATGCAGCAACTTGTTCATTAACTTGATGAAATACGTATTTAAAAAGATGCGTTGTTCCAGGGCTGCTGAGTTCCTGACCTGGCAAATGCAAGTGGGGACAACTAAGGGAGGAGTGGATTGGTTGGGGTTGGTGGATATACACTTAAGGGTGGGTGTTGCTGTTGGGGAGCACAGGTGAACAACATGGGCTCGTCACTTGCCAAAGCTGAAGCTGAATTTCTGTCCATCTTGTACCTCCCATTTCCAGAGTGTTCTGCTCATTACCAGCATATCATTTCCTGTTTGTGGGATGGGGTTTTGGTGGTTTGTGTTCTTTTTTTCCCTGCAAAAGAACTGTTCATTCAGCTAAAAAATAGTAACATGGAGCAGATGGGAAGCCAACTTTGGAAAACTCCAAAGTGAAGTAGCCTTTGAGTGTGTTGCTGATTGTAAAATCATGCTGGTCAAGTCCACAAGCAAACAGATTTGATGGTAAGTGGTAATTTTATCCCAGCTGGAAATACGTCGATTTGGATTCCAACCACAAGAGGAGGCTGAAAGAAAACCCTTAGTTGGGCTGAGCTTTGGGAAGCAGCTCCCTCTGCAGCTGGACTTGACTTGAGAAGAAAAATGATCTTGGGGGTGGGATCTAGCTGATTTTGACCTTTTGCTGTCTTGCTTTTGGAATTTGCCTCTACAAAGTGAGGGGGCAGCTGGGGAACCTGGTGCCACCAACTGAACCACTTTATTGTGCATTTAACTTGGCAGCAAGCCCTGAACTCCCTTTGCCAGGGAAATAAATGGTATTGCACAGCAGAAAAACAAATGGCTTGCAGAGGTGATAAAGATAAATGTGGTGGATAAAGACAGGGAGCTGTTGTGTGGGGTAAATGTTGTAAGGTGGTGCACTGAGCTTTGCTGCCCTGATTTCATGGAGATGCCAGATACAGTCTCTTCTCGGGGGGGGGGGGGAAGGGGGGGATAGGAACGAGAGGCATGGAATCCTGGAATGTTTTGCATTGGAAGGGACCTTAAACCTCATCCAGTTCCAACCCCCTGCCTGCCATGGGCAGGGACACTTTCCACTAGACCAGGTTGCTCCAAGCCCCTCGAACCTGGCCTTGAACACTGCCAAGGATGGGGCATCTATCCTGGATAGCAGTGCTGTTGTACAAGGTGGGTTTCATTCCCACATCCCTGGGCTTCACTTCCATCCTCCCAGAGTCTAGCACATTTGGGAATACTGGTCCCCTG